CTTGGCTGTGTATATGGCCATCGCCAGAATTTCTTTCAATGGTCTTATTTCTTTGTTTCTGGTTCAAATGTTTTGTTTCCCGCTGGATTTTGGACTGTACAAACTCTGCTGCTGTTTCAGCCAATTCTAGAGGGACAAGATCTGCATCCATCTTGGCATTGTTTAGTGCCCTACTTCTCAACTCAGTTACTGGAGGCCCACTGCCCTACTTGTTTTAAGTTTTCCCTGTTCCCAACACATCTGATCCAACTAATCAGCTCATTACCAGCCCATTATTAAGTTAAAGTGGCTGTCTTAACAGAGGGAAAGCACTAAAATGTGCAAGACAGTGGGCCTCCAGGACCAGGGTTGAGAAACACTGGTCTAGTGTGTAGGCAACCTTTCAGTCAAAATAACCGTGACGTCAGACAGGAACGCAGGAAGTGGGAGTGCTGAGGGTGCTTCAGCACCCCTTGATTTCAGATTTCAGGGTGGTATTCCATGAAGCAAGCTTATAAAACCTGTGTTTATTTGAATTAGCCTTGCTTAATTTAGCCTCACAGTTGACTCCAATCTCTGTGGTTACCACTGTTGTTTACTAAATAGCGATGATGTGAAGATGATGAAGAAGTCTCTGCTGACACCGTCTTGCTTGTATAAGATGTGTATTAGAAAGTAAAACAGTATCATATCAAGCACCATAGAGTACTTGAGAGGGGATCCGTGCCAATTCTGAAGTGTCCCCTCCAGAACAGTATAACCAACGGCTTATATAGGGTGGTTGTTGTCGAAAAAGGGAACAGAACATATGGTCCTTTTTAAAATGATCTCATCCATCTGAAACTAAGAGAGGAAGGGAGAGGAAGGGAAAGGGGCCCATTCCCTATGGGGCCTCCCCTTGGACCTTTGGACCAGGGGCTCCCTAACTTAAACATTCCAAACCTGCAAAGTCAGATAACGCATGGAACTCTAGATACCACACCACTAACAAAATCCAGGTGAGATCTGTTCCTGCTAATTCAAGTGATTTAGTAATCAAGGCTCGCGTGCGTGCACACAACATTTAAGCAGCCCAGACACTTGAGTACAGATAGAGATTTATCAGCGTAAAAAAAATATTGTTTAAAACATTTACATGTGTTTAGTTTGGAGAAAGCACTAACACACAATCCACCGTGGGAGCCACAACATTTCATGTTAATGTTATTAAAGTACCATCATGACTGTAAATATGTCTCATTATGTGCTAATGTCCCAGTGTAGATTAAGAAATATAAATGAAAATGCAGACTTACCTTGCTGTGCTTTAAGCTTTAGCTCAGCTATTTTCTCACAACCTACAGCAGAATATTTTTCCGCAAAAGTACAATAGATTCTTGTAAAATATCTCTGAACGTTTGCCTTTTTATGAAGCTAAAGTCATCTTCTCATTCGCCAGATTCTTTTTTTAATTTTCCTGTTCCACATTAAATGGAGCAGCAGTTACATTCTGGCGCCTCAGGCACTTAAAGTAGAACAGGAAAATTCTGGCAAATGAGAAGCTGTCTTCAGCTTCGCAACTTTTTTAGTGGTTAACACTTAGATTAATGAATCAGGAAACCAGCTGGAGTGTGTATAAATGTAAAATAAGTTAATTAAATTATCAATGTTGGTTTTAAATCTTTCTTTTCTTTGCCCTTTGTGTGACAAGTAATCACCAGCATGTGAATCCTAAGGGTTAAAGGCTGGTAAATTAGGAGTTATACATTAATTCTGGCTTCTAAGACAATTTATTGTTAAATAAATAAATGTTCTTTATTATTGCCTAAAACTCCAATAGGCAATAAAGCAGGATTCTCAGTTTAGCCAGATAACTTAACAGTCAACCCTGTTCAATAGGAAAACAGCTGAGGGGTATTCCTATTGGATAGTCCTCATCTTTAGAGTTCTGGCTAACTGAGAAATCCAGGTTTGTGGAACAGGGCTTTTCTCACCATTAGATTTTTTTTCACTGGGGACAATAATGTCTTCTACAGATCGACATATGGATTCATATTCTGTACAAAAAGAATATCTAGACTGTCACTGTACCATTCTGGAGTTCTCTTTATGTTTCACTTTCACCTGCTGCCATGCCTATTTCTAACTCCATCATTTCAACGTAACAAAGAATAAAGGTTTAATATTACACATTGCCACTTTAAAATATTTAGTCTAATTCTAAGTCTAATAAATGATTTCTCAATGAGTTCTGTGAGTTGAGAATATTAAGACAGTAGAGGATATTAGAACACAGTGTATGAAGTTTTTTTTTAAATCTGTAATCTATAAATTTTATACTGTGAACTTCAAGTGTTATGTTTAGGTATAGGTAAGTATTATTTGTATTAAGTATTATTCGCTTGCTTAGAACAAACATCTGAAAATGTTCTTATTTCTTGCTTTTTTAGCCGATAAATCACTGTATCTGCATTCGACTCTCTGGGCTGCTTAAATATCTTGTGCATGTGCCTTGATTACTGAATTGCTTTAAGATCTCACCTGGTATTTGCTAATGGAAACCACTAAGATTGGAGTTAACAGTGAGGTTAATTAAGCGAGGCTAATTCAAATAAGCACAGGTTTTATAAGCTCACTTTGTGGAATACCCCAGTGCTTGCGGGCCAAAACACTGCAGACGTCAGCACATTGCCTCATTAAACACACCTGATTTTGCTCAGGCGAGCATCAGAGTATTAGATGAGGGTAAACGCAAATCTCCGGAGTACTCCGACGAAAGGTCCCTAGTTTGACCTGCCTGGTCTGCGTACTCAAATCATGCCTCGGTAACAAACGGAATGTCGCTAATTTGTTGTGTTTTGGATGCTGGTTAGCAGCAATGGAAGCTGTTGCACTATATGGACAAAAGTATTGGGACACTTACACATCACACCCACAGGAGCTTTTATGATATCCCATTCTAAATCCATAGGCAATAATATGGAGTTCGTTCCCCCTTTGCAGCTGCAACAACTTCCCCTCTTCTTGGAAGGTTTTCTACAAGATTTTGAAGTGTGTCTGTGGGAATTTTTCCTCATTTATCCAGAAGAGCATTTGTGAGGTCAGATTTCCCTTCACTTGGAACTAATGGGCCTTGGCCAACCCCTATAAAACAACCCCATAGCATTATCCCTCCTCCACAAAACCTTACACATGGCACAATGCAGTCATGCAGGTAATGTTCTCCTGGCATTTGCCAAACCCAGTCTTGTCCATCAGACTGCCAGATAGAGAAGTGTGATTCATCACCTCACAGAATGCATTTCCACTGCTCCACAGTCAGCCCCCGCCCCCCTTGGGTTTGGCATTGCGCATTTTGATCTTAGGCATGTGTGAAGCTGCTTGGCCATAGAAAACCATTTTGTGAAGCTCCTGACCCACAGTTCTTTTGCTGATGTTGCTTCCAGAGGCAATCTGGAACTCGTTAGTGAGTGATTCAACAGAGGGTAGGCACTGTGCACTTCAGCACTCGCCAGCCCCACTCTGTGAGTTTGTGTGGTCTAGTGCTTCGTGACTAAGCTGTTGCTCCTTGGTGCTTCCATTTCACAATAAACACACTTACAGTTGACAGGGGCAGATCTAGCAGGACAGAAAATTCACAAACTGAGCTGCGGCAGAGGTGGCAGCCTATGACAATGTCAAGTTTAAAGTCACTTAGCTCATCAGTATGACCTTTTCTACTGCCATTGTTTGTCTATCAAGGCTGCATGGCTAGGAATGGGTATGACTGAAACACCTGAACTTAATAATTAGGAGTGTGTCCCAATACTTTTGTACGAAAAGAAAAAGAAGAAGCCTTTTTCCCCCTCTTTCCACAAACTCAGCGTCTTAAGTCTTTTTTTCTTTTTGATATCTTTTGAGAACTTAGACTTAAAACAGTTATTAGTGTAAGTGTTTAACCAGTATTAAGAGATTTCTTTTTTTAATAATATTATGTTGGAGGCCTAGGGTTGAAGGGGATACCCATTGGTCCCAACAACACTTCCTAATTATTGAGTTCAGGTGTTTTGGCTGCATGTATAGCTAACATGTATTTAAAATCCAGTACATAGCCATGCAGTCTCCATAGGCAAGCACTGAGTGCATCACAGAGAAGAGTTCAGCTTGCACAGTCAGAGTAGCCACCTCCAGCTTCATGAAATGTGTTTTCATGACCAAGCAGAGCCTAAAATCACTATGTGCAAAGCACGCCACCCCTGGACTCTGTAGCAGTGGAAATGTGTTCTCTGGAACGATTCTTTACTATCTGGCAGTCTGATGGACGAATCTGGGTTTTGCAAATGGCAGAAGATCACTCACTACCAGAATGCATAGTGCCAACAGTTAAGTTTGGTGAGGGATAATGGTCTGAGTCTGTACCCTTAGTTCCAGGGCAATGTTAAGGCAGCATATTAAGACATTTTAGACAACTTTATGCTTTCAACTCCATACTAAGGCCCATAGTTTTGGAATGAGATACCCAATAAAGCGCATATAGTTTTGATGGTCAAGTGTACAAATAATTTTTTTTCTTAAAAAGAAAAATCTTTTTACTGTGTTTGGGCTTTACAGTTTATCTTCAGTGTCTTGCACACCATATGTTGCTGACCTGACATAGAAAGATAAAAGGTGTGTTTCTCTTTGGTTTTAGTTTAAAAAGGGTTACATAACCCCATGTAAAAAATGTTGAGGATTATGTTGATGGTTGTTGCTGCATTTAGAACCTTGAAATATGCCATCAACTTCTATGAGCATTATTCAAAATCTTACATAAACTTTTAAGGAGATTTTAATAGAATAGTAGACATATTACACAGGGAAATGACTATAGAGGAAATAAGTGATTTGCTGATATTGTACATATGTAATAAAAGTCTGTTTTCTAAAAACTTTTTTTCCAAGAGTACAACAAGATTGGTGAAACACTGGTCAGTTTCTTTTTTCTGCTGTCACACAATCATTGTGAAGCAAAGCGCAGGGTCAGTATCATAGGCTTTTTCAGTAGAAAGCTCACTCCATGAGACTTAGCAAGTGTATTTAATTTTATTCTACTATACCATGCTCTAACAGCATACAAATACAACTCACGTAATGGAACAACACCAGTACCATAATTACTAAGAACAGGGAAACATTTGAGCCCAGTAAGAGTCATGGTTCTGGCATCCTTTCTTGCTTCCTCTGAGAAAACCAAATGAACAGCTACTGACGGAATATGGACAACACCATTTTTGACTTGTCCTCAGGACCCTGGAGGAGAAAAGATGCGGAGATCAGAAGATGAAATAAGCATTTTAAGTTCATAACCTCTACAATCATAGTCAAAAAATAGTAAAACATGCAGTACATGCAAACAACATATGGTTTAATTTCCTGGAAAAATTTGACAATGTTTGTGCCTGGAAGCATCCAACCAAAGGTTGTGTGTGACATGCCATGCCACATTCCATGTCAGTTAAGTTATTCCTTTTGCTCATCTCCATGCTCATTTGAGTACTATGAACACTGAAAATGACAATCTCCCTAATTTATACGACTCACAGTCACAGTACATATTATGGAAGCACATCATTCGCAAAATCAAAAGGAAAATATAATATGTAAAATGGCAATGTATTCTTGTGTTTTTAAATTTAATTTCCCACTCGTGTGCAATTTTAGGCACAAAATGAAAACTAAAATTCAGTTTTTTTATGTTAATTTGCCATTTGGTGTTCTAATATTGACATTTACATCATTTACACAGAGGTTTAGACAATTTACAATTAGCTTTAAATAAATTAAAATGTGTTTCCCAAATTTTATATTTATGCTTTATGTGTTTATGCAATAATGGTGTAAAATTATAAAGCCATTTCCGCTGAGCATGCTGTTGGCCCCATCCTGATGGGATGATGGATAGGTTAGGAAGTCTGTGAAAATGAAAATGCAATCTGGTTGAACTGAACAAATTTTCCAAAGGCATGTTGCCACACAATAAGAGCAGTAGTTGAGAATAAGTAATTGCATAGAGAAGTGCCGTTTCCCTTTTTTGCATTTGAATTTTGTCATCTTTCTAGGTTTGTGTTCACTTTGATAATTCAAATGCATTATTAAGGATTGCAAAACCGCACAGGTAAATTCGATTTTAATTATCATTGACACTTACCATATAATAAAAAATCTCTGTATAAATGAAATGGCAATACTAGTGTACCAATTTTAAATGTACAAATTAAAATGGTAAAACTGAGTTAGAATTTTTGAGTCCAAGATTGCACATGAGTGGGAAATTTCAATTCAAACATAAGAATACACAGAAAATTTACATATTACATTTTCATTTGGATTTTGCAACTGACAGGCTTCCATAACAAATTAATTGTTGGAATATCAAATTTATAAATGGACAACTCTGGCCCTGATTTACCAAACAAAAAATAGTATTTTGCATGTGCAGTGCAGTAGATTTCATGTGTAGCTAAAGAGCATTATGTGAGTAATGTACAAACATTAACTACACAAATGATAACACCTGCAAAAAGATGGAATAAACACTATTTAAATGAGATTTTTGCTGGTGATAATCTTTCTTGATAACCATGGTGAGTTCAGGTCTCAAAGAGGTGTTGGTTAAAGTATATAAATAAGCTATAGCCATGTATGCGGACACCTGGCCATCACATCTATATGAGCTTGTTGAACATTCCATTCCAAAACCATGGGCACTACTTTGGAGACCCCCCCTTTATAGTTGTAACAGCCTCCATTCTTCTGGGAAGGGTTTCTACAAGTATCTGGAGTTTGTTTTGGGGAATTTGTGCCCTTTCAGTCAAGTCAGGCACTGACATTGGATGAGAACGTCTGGCTTGCAATTGTTGTTCTTATACCAAAGGTGTTCAGTGGGGTTGAGGTCAGGGCTCTCTGCAGGCCAGGAGAGTTCCGCAAACTATCAAATCATGTATTTATGGACCTCGCATTGTGCACAAGGGCACAGTCATGCTTGAACAGAAATGGGCCTTCCTCACTTTTGCCACAAAGTTAGAAGCATATAATTGTTTCAAATGCATGCTGGAGTATGAGCAATACCCTTCACTAGAACTAAAGGGCCTAGCCTAAATACTGAAAAATAGCCCCAGATCATTATCCCTTCTCAACCAAACTGTACTGTTGGCAATGTGCATGGCGGTTCTCCTGGCATCCGCCAAAACTAAGATTCATCCATTACACTGCCAGACAGCGAAGCGTGAATCATAACTCCAGAAAAACGTCTCCACTGCTCCGAAGTCCAAAGGCGTTACAACACTTTAGCCGACGCTTGGCATTGCACATAGTGATCTTCGGCTTGTGTCCAGCTGCTTGGCTATAAACTAATTTCATGAACTTCCAAAGGCACAGCTCTTGAAATGTCAATACAGAGACACTTCCTTTCCACACTAATTGCCCTCACGTCTGACCATTTAGAACGGCAGAAATGTCATAAGTTGACTTACAGCAGGGGTGGCATTCTACGATATTTTAAAGTCACTGAGCTCTTCAATATGACCCATTCTACGGCCCTGGTTATCTATGGAGCTTGCAAGGCTATGTACTTGATTTTATACACACCTTAGCAATAATTGTGAATAAAACACATGAACTCAATAATTAGGAGTATTGTCCACATACTTCTGGCCATATAGTGTACCACTGTCCAATCCCACCTCCTAGCCACTGGCAAGTGACAACACTATTGTGGGTTGCTTTCAAAAAACAAAAAAAACAAAAACAAAAACAACAACAAAAAAAACCCAAACAAAACAAGAGCACCAGCAACACATTGTCTAAGCTTGACTTCAGTGTGACAAAAAGCAGCCGTAAATGTGGACTGCAGACTGCTACTACATATCCACAGTACTTTCTCGAGTATCCAGTTTCAGAATGACTGGTTATGTGACAACACCACAGTGCCTGCACTGTAAGCTTAAACTGGTGAAACTAAACATGATTTCTGGTCATAAACATGTTAGCTAACATTGTACTTGGTATGGTTTGGTAGTTTTTGCAATAGGTGTAGTAAATCAGTTTACAGACAATAAATAATTTCTTGTTCACATAATAAAACTGCTACACCTTGTGAAGGAGCCTAAAAGACACTGTTACGGTAGTTATAAGTTGTCTTTTTTTGTTTCTCATAGCTAATGTATTCACAGCGTAAAACATTTTTAAGCCCCCATTCATGTTTTGTGAAGGAAGCCATTTCTTGTGTGGAAAGCTACAGCATGGCTAATCAGTTTTGATAGATGGAAACAGATGGTGAGAGGTGTTACTATAATTAGTTGCCTCAAGCCTAATTAAGCTATGACAAAAAACAACTCTGTTATATGCAATAAAATTCAATACACATGAAAATCCAATTTTCTAATTGAAAATGACTGTGTAAAGTGCTTTGCTCACCTGAGATGGCCTAGCTCCTAGTGGACTAGGGCTCCTTTTCTTTGCCAGGAGAAGGCCAAGTATGGCTCTCCAGCCTGATGGCGGAAGCTCCATCGCACAGCCTACAGACAGTAACCTTTCAAGGTCCCATTCTTTACTTACTCCATTCACCCAAGGACACCAGCTTCTGTGTTGGGCAACTGGATCAAACAAATTTCTATGCAAGAGTCCTTCCTGCAACAAAAGAGAACTTCCAGTGACTATGGCAGCAGGTAATAACAGTTAAAACATTGTTTCACCACTACTAAAACATTACTTTTTGTAAACATGGAAAATGTTTTTATTTATCTACAGTATGTTGAATAATTGAATGAGAATGTTAATATACTTTTGTTACAATATTACTTCCCCAGAACACAATTTGAAGAATTCAAAAACAATTTTGAAAGCTTTAGCTGATAACCTAGCTCATTTACTAGCATCCTTACACCCACTCCAATGAGAAACTAGCAAAGCCCTGAATAATTATTGGCAATCTTAGTAAAGAAGAGCAGTCTATGTCCATAAAAACATCACTGCTCATCAGTTTGACATTACACTAAAAACATGAGAAAAGCTTGGAAAGTTTCCGAAAAGAAATCTGTGCCAAACCCCTAGCACCTGTTTTCTATATGTGACACATCCTAAATAGAGACTATAAATTCATACTACAGCAACATAAAATGTACTGTGTTTTACTGTGTTGATGCCCTTCATTTCTCACTTTCCACATGTAATCATGAAAAAAAAAACTTTTTTTGACATTCTATTTTTGGTTCACAATATGGCAGACCAAACCTACAGCACACTAATTTTCAGACATGGTCTCAGTGCACCAAATGGAAAAATGACTTATCTGAAACAAGTGAGCCAAAGAACTTAAACGAGCCATTCATGCATTAGTAGATGAGATATAGTATAAATAGATAGATAAACTTCAGATCTCACAGTAATATTCATCACTGACTCCATGTTAAATTGTCAATCTAACAACAACTGCTAAATGGTAAAAGTGCTAAATGGAACAGTAGAGTGGTTGTGCTATTACTGCTAGGTTAGTCACTTCAGTCATTTGACTTTACATTGGGACAGTATGTGAAATGCTAATTAAAACAGAAAGCAGTGATTAGTAAAATCTGTCTGATCTGTTTTAAATTGAAAATGGTACAAAAACATGACATTTGATTGTTTACCTTATGAACTTCATTCATTTTTTGTAAATATACACTGTAAAAAAGTTAGGATATTAGCATGTTTACCACTGTCTTACATTTCCTTTCCTTTTAACAAATCTTAATGAACATTTTAAGACTGAAAACATAAAATGATCCAGTTTTGAAAGCAACATTTTTTTACCATTTTTAATGGTAATCAAGTCGTCAGCCACACAACCGTACAGGGCTTTTGTTGTCATATTTTGAACTTAATAAGACACAGGTTTTCAATGGGAAATAGTTATGGACGGCAGACAGGCTAGACAGTCTAGTCTAGCACTTTATGATTAAGCAGCCATGCTGTTGTAACACATGCAGAATGTGGCTTAGTGTCCTCATATTCAAATAAACATGGGTGTCTTTAAAAAAAGTTAGTTTCTAAAAGGCAGCATGTGTTACCTAATAACAGACCCTGGATTTTAAACTTTGTTTTAGTAACAGCGTGGATTTTTTTTTTTTTTCCTGGACCAGAGCGATGCGATTATAAAACAATTATCGATGCATCTTGATGCATCTTTTTTTCTCTACAGGATTTCTTTTTAATGAATTTACTTCCAATATCTTTTATTAATAAACCAAACGGAAGCAATGTGGCAAGTGAACTGGAAGGCTCTCATTCACTGCGCTTGTTTGGAGCACATGAGACACAGGCTGCCACTCATCTGCGATAAAATGCCCTGTTACAGTGAAATAAGATCCTGTGTTCTACCCGTTTTCTTTAGTGATTTTATAACTTCGGTTTTGCTCTCATTGTAGAGTGTGGGGGGTTGCTGTGTGAGTAAAATATCTTTGAGACGGGATGCTGTATCTCGGCTCCAAAGCGTGCAACATAGCGTGAAAGGTTCTTGATGACAGAACGGACGCAAATCCTTGGCAATAAAAGTTGTGATAGAGTTTGTAGTTCGCGTTGTTCTTTCCGAGTTGAGTGAAAGTTTTCACATCGCTTGCTTGATGGTCCTCTGGTTGGCAGCAAGTACAACCGGACGGAAAACGGGTGGAAACACGTAATGTGGTTTTTTTCCCCCTCAACTGCTTAGAAGGCAAAGAGCTTCCATACGCTAGCTCAAGGGTCGGCAACCTGCGGCTCTTTTACTCGCCGGATGCAGCTCCACAGCAGAATTAGATTTGTAGGTAAAAATAAAATGATCCTCCTTTGCTTTGTTTTAACAATAAATAATCTTAAACGTTGGAGTTAATGTAGCCTATAATCGCTAGTTCACCTAGCTAGTAGCTAACAAAAAGGCAAAGAGAAAGATTTGAGACAAAGATAATTTGGAGATGAACAGACATCTATAATCACTCCAGCTGATTTCCTGATATGTTTAATCTGCAATGAGAAACTGTTAAACACTAAAAAAAGTGAAGCCAAAGTCAGCTTCTCATTCACCAGCTTCTTGTTTGAATTTACCAGTTCCACCTTAAATGGTGCAGCAGTTACATTCTGGCACTTCAGGCACTATTTAAGGTGGAATGGGAAAATTTAAACAAGAAGCTGTAGAACGAGAAGTGACTTCAGCCTCGTAAAAAGTAGAACATTGAGAGACATTTCGCAAGAAACCGTTCTGCTTTTGTGGAAAAGTTTCCAGTTGGTGATGCAAGAAAAGCGGATACAGCTGAGCTACAGCTTAAAGCAGAGCAAAGTAAGTCTGCGTTTTTGTTTGTATTATATTTTTAGCCTGTACTAGGACATTAGCACGTACTGAGACACATACAGCCAAGATTGTAATTTGGACTCAAAATATTGTGGCTTTCACAATGGTTAGATTTTTGCTGAAAGGACAAAATGACTCTTATTAACATTTGGGTTGCCGACCCCTGCACTGTCCGGGCACTGCACTTCCGCACTTTGCAAAGTTCCACCTTTTTCGTTCCGTCAACATTGTGTTATCAATAAAAATTTAGAAAATCGATTTTTGACATTTGTAAATCGATTCAGAATCGTCCACATCTGCATCGCGATGCATCTAAGAATCGTGTACACATATATATATGTATGTGTGTATGTGTGTGTGTGTGGGGAATTGTATGCATACATATATATAAAACAGATTTGTTAAATTCAACATAATGAAGTGCTGGTTAGCCAAACCAGGCATGTTAATTACAAATAATACTGGGTTTTTTATGCTACCAATACATCAGTACCTGATATGCCTAAAACATGTGCCCAGTACTGATTACTGAGAAAAAACGTTAGCCAGGGTGTTACATAGACTAGCAATGGTAAGTGATTTTACTGTAGTATTAACTGGCAGTCTAGCATAACTTACTAAAACTGTATCTCTATCTATGAAAATACAAATATCAGACAGGTATCGGTATCTCTCCAGTAAAACCAGCATTAAAGTACTTGAATTGGACCAGGTTGGGGGTAAACAAACCAGACAAGATATCAAATTGTTACCTTGTGGTCTAGTTCTCCCCAAAAATGCTCTACAAGGCAGTACAGAAGCATATACAAAAGGCTATATATATATATACACATATATATACATATACACACACACACACACACACACACACACACACACACACACACAAGGGGTGGGATTCGATTACGATTCAGAGGGCTGCGATGCGATTATAAAACGATTATCGATGCATCTTTTTTTCTATATAGCATTCATATTTTCTCACTGTGTGAGCTCAAGTTTCGAATTCAAGTTTCAAGTTTATTTGTCACTTGCACAACATGTCAGGACATTTATGCATTAAAATGCTTGTGGTGAGGCACAGGTAATCACTCTACAGAAAGTAAATAAGTAAAAATAAAAATACAAGAAAAACCAACTGAAATATATTAAATATACACAAAATATACACAGAATATAGAGACAATATACATTTTAAAGTGACTAAGTGAGTCTGTGTTATTGTTATTTAAAGTGACTTGGTACTTTTAAAGCAAAGTATTTGTAATGATGCATAATGAATTTACTTCCAATATCTTTTTTAATAAAACAAATGGAAGTGTTGTGGCAAGTGAACTGGAATGCTCTCATTCAGTGCTCGTTTGGAGCACGAGAAGCTGCTGCTACTCATCTGCGATAAAATGCGCAGTTACAGTGAAATAAGATCCAGTGGTAATGGATGTCCACGCAGCATGTTACAGCTATTCTACCCGTTTTCTTTAGTGATTTTATAACCTCGGTTTAGAGGTGGGGGGGATCGCTATGTCAGTAAAATATCTTTGAGACGGGACGTGTGCAACATAGCGTGAAAGTCCTGTTTCGCAATGACTGAGAACCGGCGTGCGGACTGCAGGTCACCTAGCAGCGATGCGTTATTCGCATTTATAAGCAGCGCAGTTGGTTTCCTGGTACATTAAATCTGCACGAGAGACTGTCAAACACTAAAAAGTGGCGAAGCTGAAATCAGCTTCTCTTTCGAATTCTCCCGTTCCACCTTAAATGGTGCCGCATTTACATTCGGCGCCTCAGTTAGAATTTAAGGTGGAACGGGTAAATTCGAACAAGAAGCTGGAGAATAAGAAGCGACTTCAGCCTCGTAAAACAGTCGAACGTTGGGAGACATTTAACTGATCTCTTTCTGAGGAAAAGTTTTCTGGCGGAGATTGGAGGAAAGCGGCTGTAGGCGAAGCTTAAAGCAGAGCGAAGTAAGTCTGCGTTTTCGTTTATATTGTTTAACCTAACTTATACTAGGACATCAGCACATACTGAGACATACTGGACATTAAATGTTGCGGCTCCCAAGGTGGTTTGATTTTTGTTGAAAGGACAAAATATTAATATTTGGATTGCGACTCCTGACCTAACCTGGCTTTTAATGTAGAGGGAGCTGGTCGGATTTCTCGCTCATCCAGTTGTGTTTTTGTTATGTGCCGCCACAGACTGTCCGGGTGCTGCACTTCCAATTCCGCCTTTTGCGTTACGTCAACATCACGTTATAAATTAAATACTTAGAAAATCGTTTTTTGACATTTGTGAATCAATTCAGAATCGTTCACGTCATCTAAGAATCGATTTTTTCCCGCACCCCCGTGTATGTGTGTGTATATATATATTTATATATATATGCACATACATACACATACATACATACATACATATATATACACACACATACATACATACATATATATACACATACATACATACATACATACATACACACACACACACATATATATATACACATATACATATATATATATATATATATATATATATATATATATATATATATATATATATATATATACACACACACACACATACACACATACACACACACACACAATACCATACCACACACTCACACACACACAATACCATACCAACTTTGTCTTCTTTGTCTTCCCCTAAGTTTATACTTACGGAACCACTAGAAGAGGAGAGACGTGGGCGTTTTGTTTTTTTGGGGGGGCTGGAGGGCATTTCTGATGTGAGGTTGTCTCCATGGCCTCTGCTGCGGGTTAAGGGCCTTTTGCCCCTTCCTATCTCCTCATTAGGGCTAGGGGAGTCCCTGCTTCTGGTGCGAGGGAGGGATGATGTACTCTCAGACTAAATTAGAACACAAAATCAGAAGAAAAACCTACATAAGACATTAACATGTGATTTAAGAACACTGGGTCATTGGTTCACATTTGATACAATTTCTTAGTCACAGTCATAAAATTGTGAATTGTGAATCAGTGTAGACTGGTACTATGTATCAGCTGCCACCCACAGCTGAAATACCAGAACTGGTACTGGGAGAAGAAGAAGTGGGATCATGCATCCATTCAAAAGATTTTTACACAACCTGCTCTGTGCGTGTGTTATCCTGGCTGCGAAGCTTCATGCGACATGGAGTTGGGGACTGAGAGGGGGAGGTAGGTGTCAATCTGTCACCAACACGCGCCTCTGGAAACGCAGTGGACAACTGGGAGTATGAACAGTTGTCCCCATCACCTGGAACACCCTCCAACTGGTCGAAGTTCCACAGGCCTACTTTCCTCATGCAGAAAGTGCAGCTGAGAATGGGGAGAGTCACAGCACACAGACCTTGCCTATAAAGACACGCAAAAAGAAGCAATACTAAGTCCCTTTTTAAGGAACTTCTCTACAAAGGCGCTCAATATTTCCTAGCAGCAATTTAAGTGCCTTTCTAAAAGAATGATAAGGTCTATGACAAGTGGCAATTCTCTTAAAGAAACCTCAAATTTTGAACATTTTGCAGGACATAGGACATGCTCCCACTTACAGTCATGGAATCTGAATTTCATCTGTGCAAATTTAATCGACAGTAATTACAACCAATAAATTACTTACTAATTACTTCAGAGTGGAGACTGAAATTTGTGACCCTTGGACATCATTAATATCACTAAAGCCTTTAAATATAGAGGTGCCATTTAACATTCATGCACATGATTATCATATTGTTGTTCATTTGTGGCAGTAATATTCCTTGATTTTCTGGTACACAGGTTTTCAATCCTGGTCCTCCTGTTCTGCATGTTGTAGGGTCTTTCCTGTTTTAAAACAGCCAGTACACCTCGGAAAGGGCTTGTTGATTAGATTGTTAGTTGACCATTAAGTGTGTTGGGAGCAGAGGAACTAAAATGTACAGGGTGGAGGTCTGCGGGGGACTGTTTTTTCAGTCCCACTCTGCAAGATTTTAACCTGCTCCTACAGAACATCGGAATCATTTGTCCCGCTCCCACCCACAACCGAAACGTTTTGGCCCACTCCCGCCCATGCAGTTCCATCCAAATACATTATTCTTCGCTGAAAAAACAAGGTGGTCATTGTCATCGGCCTTACTGTGAAGTAACTTCACCATATGCCATTGTAGAGGAGGGGCTGTAGTCGAGTGTCACATGCAGAACGGAGAGCCAGGTCACAGTGAACCAGCGGGCTAACTAGCTAATACACTTCTCCAGTGTGTTATCTCTACCAGCATACTTATAGCCATGTCTCTTCTCAGTAGGTAGGAGAGCCCAGAGAGAGAGAAAGAGAGAGAGAAAGACAGTGGAGACAAGTCCCAGCCAAGAATTCGACTTATCAGCAGTCTTATTCTTTTTGTTGGTTTGTAAAAATAAAAGGAAAAGTCTGTGTCTCCCCACCCTGCTCCCACTTTCCTCATTTTGAGAGTGTTTGTGGTGCGTGTGTGTGTGGTTTCTGTTCTTTGTGGGGTTTTTGTGGTATGTTTGTGTTGTGTTGAGTGTGTGATGCGCGTTGTGTAGGTGTGTGTGTGTGTGTGTTGTTGTGTGTGGTCTGTTCAGTGTGTGTGCTGTGGGGCGGGTGTTGACTATGTATTGTTACTGTTGGTACTACTGTTTTATTTGTTATTACCATTTTACGTTTGTTACTACTGTTATTACTGCTGTTATTGCTGTGCATTAGGCTGTAAGCATGTGAGTCTGTATTACGTATGAATATTTGTGTAGGCGACGTGCATTGTGATATCACTTGTGGCAAATACAGTGTACATTCTGAACATTCTGCCATTCATTTTCAATGGTAAAAATTTCATTTTTTAACAAAAACCGTATTGCGGATCAGTCAAGTAAGCACAAGCGCACCATTTCCGCATATAAGGAACGTTTGTGCAACATTTGGTGGTCGTACATCAAAAACTGTGGACCGTGAAAAGTTTACAAAATTTGAGCGCAGAATAATAACAAAATGAAGAACAAGAACATTCTTGGTTTGAAAAAGCCAGCTGATTATGTTAAAACATTAAAATGGTGGTAGACTGTTTATGGTTACTAAAGTATTGCTTACATGTTGCTAGGCAGTTGCTTTGGTATGCAAAGTGGTTGGTAAAGTATTGCTAGGTGATTACTAAGGTGTACAAGGTTGTTACTGAAGAGTTGTTAGGTGGTTGCTATGCTGTTAAAACCACTCATACCTGAAATTCACTGCCACCTTAAATTTACTGATACCTTGAATCTTAAAACCACCTTAAATCCATTGTTAGCTAACTTTAACTGCTACCTTAAATCCACAGCCACCTTGAATCGTGTGCAACCTTAAGTCCACTACTCCCTTAAATTCAATGTCTCCTTAATTTCACAGCTATCTTAAATCCATGGCCAACTTAAATTTACTCATCTATTATTTGTGATGTTATTGCTGTACATTAGGCTGTAAGCATGTGAGTCTGTGTGCACTGGGTATGAGTGTGTGAGAGATGTGCATTGTGACATCACTTGTGGCACTTTGTGGGGGAAAATATCTTTAAATGATCATTTAAAAAAAAAAAAATTGTCAGATCACTTAGAAAAGCTCAAGTAACTTAATTGGGCATAGGTCCTATGATCCTGCAAAGTTTTGTGGTTCTAGTTCGAAAACTGCGGGACAAAAACTTTTATTTTGTGAGCGTAGAATAATAATAAGATTACGAAGAACAGTAAGTTGGCTTGGAAAAGCCAACTTAATTAAACTACAGAATGGTTATTTTTGTTTTTTTGTTGGGCTTAGCAGCTTTGGCCATCGGACAGAAGGCTCCGCCATCTCTGTAAGATACACAAGTTTGTGTGATGTTTATATTATTGGTTGCTTTGCATGTTATCATTTTTCATTATGTATGATGAAGTGATCGTTATACTTCCCGCGTACAACGCTGAAAATTAGTTCTGCAGCGCAAGACATTGTAAATGTAATTGTAAACTCCAATGGGTCCAGTGGGAATCCCACGGGAGTGCAGACCTCTAGTACAGGGTTTCTTTTTCTTTTTCATAATTTAATTGAGATGTAAACAGAGTGGCTCAAAGTGAAATGATGAATTGCAGAGAAACTTAACAACCGACATCTGTGTACAGTGGTAGTGACAATATCTAGGCGTCAATTTATTTGCTATCTAAGATTACCAGTGTAGCTACACGTGTCTTTAAATTTTTTTTATATATAAGCACGATAATAGTAAAACAAAGAGTTAAATCTTGGGAAAAAAAAAAATACTTTATTTTTGTACAATTTTGCCTTATAAAGCTCAACATGTACCTCTTTGCCACTTAAAAAAATTGTCATAAAACAGGCATTAGGCACTGTGTATATAACCATTTTGTGTAATGGTTTCTGAGGAGGTACCTTTTTCATCCTTTAAATGCATCAGAAGTTGGGTTTCTGTCACTACTGCTGTGAACAATTCTGATTTGGTAAGTTTCTCAAGAATGCAAACCATTTTACATCAGACCTCTTCATTATTTACTTACACATAAATTTAGAAAAATGCAGTGTAAATCAAAATGTGTTTTGACTTGCATTTGTGGATGCAACAACAACTGAATCATTGTTAACTATTACAGAAGCATGCTGGTTTTTAATGCAGTGCTGTCTAGGAGGTTGAAGGTCATGGGCATTCAGTTGTGGTTTTTGGCCTTGCCCTCTACCCATAGAGATTTCTCCAAAATCCCTCATCTTTTAATGTTTTTCACTTAGAGGGCAACCCACCTGAACACCTAACTTTGTGACTGTTGGATTATTTGTTGATGCATTTTTTGGCAAACTGGTGGGCCTCAACCCATCTTTCCTCATAAAAGACTAGTCCTTTCCTGCTCATTTATACCCAAACACGACTACAGCAGCTTTTTGAGATTTTTTTTTATTTTTTTTTTTTTATGTGTCTTTCCTAGTCTTAAACTGCCCGTCTCAACTTTTACGAATATGTGCACACATTTCCAAAAAATAAATAAATAAAAATAAAAAGCATGAAGCTGATAAAGTAAAACTTGAAAGATCTTGTCTTTGTAGTATTTTTGTTTTTTATTTAATTTACATACTGTCCTCACTTTTTTGAAATTGGGGTTTGTAGTTTTTGTAGTGTGACATTTAGCTCAATTTTCTCTCAATTACACATTTTAATAGTTTTTTGTATTTACTTTATTTTAGTAATTTTTTTTATTTTTTAACAACGATTCTATATTTTCAATAAATTCAGAGCATAATTTTTTAGGGCACGTGGCCAATTCAACTGTCAACTGTTCATAAAGTTATAAGAGGCGGCAGTAGTGTGATCACCTTAAATTGACTATCCTCTTTATTTTTTGTTAGATTAACCTCACTAGCCACTTACAGAAACTAACCAAAACTTTCGATGCATAACATTATGCCAGAACAATTTGAGCAAAATATCTAACTGTGATCTTTCTGACCAATATTGTGACTGCAAATTAAATTGTGATTATTTCCTACAAATTAAGGTCCAGGCCTGGTATTTTGGCCAAGAAGATCAGCATATCCACTTTTTCTGGCTTGAAGGGCTTGAATGTTGAATATATTGTGCCAGACTGCCAGCTAGTTGTGATTGTGTTGTCATGTAGTTTGGTTGTTCTGAACGTTTAACTCATCTAATGACAGCTCACAAGCTCTGTGTTATTAGGTTAAATTTCTGCACTAGTAACTTGTTAAGGCAACTTTGTTGATATGTTGACTAGATACTGCTGGCTAATAAAACTCGCAAGTCTTGCAATTTGGAAATGAATATCTTTCATACGGTAATTTCAATATAAACAATAAACCCTTCAGCCCTTCTTAATGTTCCTTCTGTAGCCAAGATGGCAACTAACAAGGGAGGCAAATTTGAAAGTAAACTCAAAGCTATTCATTTCTCATTAGAATAAAGTTGCACAGCTCGCAAGCTAGCGAAAGCAGGCAACTAGCAGAGGCCGAACTTTAACTGTACACATTAAAACTAACTTGAGGAGGGAAGACATTCGCCAAGATCAATGGTCGGTCCCTTACCCTTACAATGTAAAAATGGGAATGTGTCCTCACTATATAACTTTCAAATAAATGTATGGCAATGAAACAGAAATAAATTATTAGTAAACGTAATACTTTGACCCATTGTTTCTGTTCATTATGCCAACACCCCTCCTCAAAAGTGAAACGTAACTACAATAGGAAATCAGCTTTTAGTTGCGTAATGTGTAAGTGCATCTTCCCACCTTGCTTCCCAGCCACATAAGGCAACAACACAAGCAGCCATCTGTATGTTGGGTGGATCTGATGAAAAGTCATCCGGCATCTTTAGCTCGTCTTCAACCAACTGCAACAGACTACTAATCACTTCTTCAGTCAGTGCCTACAAAGACAGATATAAATTAAATATCAATCTGGGAAGGGTTTGCAACTAATATGACAAAACAAAATAGTCATTAGAAAACTGTATGTTATGTGACTCTTAAAAAAAGTGAGCCAAAAAGGAATTTTATTTTGGAGTGAGACAATATTTCTGGAAGGCCTCCATCCACCTCCACTGAAAATGTTCATCTCCAAATTGGACATAGTGAATATGGGGAATACTGTTGGAGTGCAATAAACTAAGCTAAAAATTCCCCAGCGTATTGTCAATATCTACATCCAGTGGTCACTTTTTTGGATACACCTAGTCTGTAGTGCATAGATGAAAAAAAATTTCATTTCCTGTGGCTTGCAGGCCAAAAGCCAGTCTGTATTTCTGGTAACTATAAGGTTCTTGTTTTGTCTTGGGGGGGGCTGATCTATCCTATCCTCAAAAGGACAACAAACAAGCACAACAGGAAAAATATAGATGCCTTTAAACTTTGGTGCTGGCAAAGACCTCGGACAGCAAAGAAAACAAATCAATAGATCCTAGACCAAATTAAGCCTCACCTCTCAAAGCACAGATAACCAAACTAAAGCTATCTTACTTTGGATATATTCTGGAAGGAACTAATTCATTATCCTTATGCTTAGACAAGTTGATGGTAAAAGAGGAAGAGGATGAACAGTTAAAAGATGGATTGATATAATCAGAGGAATCATGAACCAGCCATTGAAAATCCCTGGAAAATTCTGGAACAACACTATCCATATGGTCACCAGGAGTCGACGACGACAACAACAACAACAACAACAACAACAACAAGTTAATCACTGGCATAATATTAATAATTACGGATAGAAAAATCAATAGGCTATAGAGCCTGGGAAACAGAATAGCTAAATTATTCTATATTTACTATCTACTTTCCATAATTTTGGCAGATCTGAAGCCCACGGTCTTGCTAAATATGTTTGCAGAGATGACTAGCATGTGGAACTACATGACACTAGATCAAATATTAGAGAAAGATCAGGGAAAGCAAAAAGGAAAGGAAGGTCTATTCAGATATTCAGACGCAGCTACAGTTAAACAGCACACAGGATGCATCCCAGTGAGAATGCAGGTAAACATCAAGCTTAAGCTCATTTTACATTTAACATCATTTAGTGGATTTATCACATTTGGAATTAGCTAACTAACACTTCACAAGTGCCTCATGGGCAGGGGTGTAAAGAGTACTGAAGAGAGAGAGAGAGAGAGAGAGAGAGAGAGAGAGAGAGAGAGAGGGGTCAGATCAGGCCAGCCAATGACAGCGCAACACAATCTGTATGAAGAATCTGTATTAGACTAGATTTCTATCTCAGCCATTCACGACCATTTATTTCCAAAACAGCAGCTAAACTAGGCTGTATTTTAAACGGGTGAACTGTTGGCTGTGGGCAACACCTGTTAACTAACGTAGCTGACAGACACTTGTATTAAATATACGCAACAGATTTCAAGTTAAATAAACAGAAGCATTACAAAAGAAACAAGAAACCCGTAAAAACAGTACCTGTTTAGCTCAGATCAGCCAGCTAGCTCAGCTAACGCTGCCTCAGACTGGAGTCGAGTTGTGAGAGCAGATCTCCGCAGGTTTTGTGTTTGGCCGCTGATAACGCGGTTTTCCTTAGTTCATGTGAAAATGAATACAGATGACCTTTTGGATTTGGACTGTTCCTCGTGTGAGCTGGTTTAGTTCTCCTTTGTCCTTCTTCACTAAACTGGACATCTCTGTAGTGTTTTTCCTGCCTGAGCTGCTGTTTTTTGAATCTTTTAAATTTAACCGTGCGTCTTTCTTACTGGTTTCTGATCTGATACGCTGTAATTTATTTTTACTCAGTAACGTTATGAAAATTAAAGTAGCGAAGTAAAAGTATTTAATTAAAAATTAACTCAAGTAAGAATAAAAATACTATGATTTAAATCTACTTCAAAAAAGTACCATTACAGGGAAAACTGTACTCAAGTACAGTAACAAAAGTCAATGTAATTCGTTACTTACACCTCTGCTCATGGGTGCCAGAAAGTAACTGCTGAGCCATTTAAGGTGGACAGGAAAACTGAAATAAGAAGTCTGTGAATAAGAAGTAAATCTTAGCTCTGTGATGAGGTATACATTTTACTACCACTACCAATCAACAAATGTAACATTTTACCTTTCAAAACATGCTGTTTTCCAGCTGAAAGGTATGTGAACTAAGTTATACTTTTGCATTTAGCATTTATTAATCTGTTTTCACTAAAGACTGTAAACTGATTGCCTCTTCTGTTTAAACTTAATATGAAGTACAATTCTAAAAAGTTGGGACGTTATGTAAAATGTAAATAAATGAAAATAAAAACAGAATGCAATGATTTGCACATCTCATAGGCCCATATTTTATTCACAATAGAACATAGAACACATATCAGATGTTGAAAGTGAGACATTTTACCATTTATTAACTAATATAAAACTTGATGGCAGCAACGCATCTCAAAAAAGTTGGGACAGGGCCATGTCTACCATAGCACTCCCTCTTCTTTTAACAACAGTCTGTAAATGTCTGCGAAGTGAGGAGACCAATTGCTGGAGTTTTGGGAGAGGAGTATTGACCCTTTCTTGTCTGATGTAGGATTCTAGATGCTCAACAAGAAGGACCGGAAGTCCTGGGTCTTCTTTTCCGGATTTTTCACTTCTTGATGTGCCAAATGTTTTCTATTTGTGAAAGGTCTGGACTGCAGGCAGGCCAGTTTGGCACCTGGATTCTTCTTCTGCGAAGCCATGATGTTATGATGGATGCAGTACGTGGTTAGCATTGTCTTACTGAAATATGCAAGGCCTTCCTTTAAAGGGAAATTGTGTGGGTGGGAGCATATGTTGCTCTAAAACCTCCATATACTGTTCAGCTTTGATAGTGCCTTTCCAGACGTGTAAGCTGCCCACGCCATAGGCACTAACGCAACCCCATTCCATCAGAGATGCAGGCTTTCGAACTCTGCGCTGCGATGGTCCCTCCCCTCGAGTCCACAGGACATTGCGTCCATGGGTTCCAAAAAGAATTTCAAATTTAGATTCATCTGACCCTAGAACAGCTTTCCATTTTGCCTCAGTCCATTTTAAATGAGCTTTGGCCCAGAGAAGACAGCGGCGTTTCTGGATCGTGCTGACATATGGCTTCTTCTCTGCATGATATAGCTTTAACTTGCATGTGTGGATTGCACAGTGAACTGTGTTCACAGACAATGATTTCTGGAAGTGTTCCTGAGCCCATGCAGGGATTTCCAGTACAGAATCATGCCTGTTTTTAATGCAGTACTGCCTGAGGGCCCGAAGATCACAAGCATCCAATATTTACTGTCGGCTTTGTCTCTTGCGTACAAAGATTTTCCCAGATTCTCTGAATCTTTTGATGATAATATGTACTGTAGATGGTGGAATGTCCAAAGTCTTCACAATTTCACATTGAGGAATATTTTTCTGAAATTGTTCCAAAATTTTTAGACGCAGTTTTAACAGATTGGTGAACCTCTGCCCATCTTTGCTTCTGAGAGACTCTGCCTCTCTAAAATACTCTTTTTATACCCAGTCATGTGAGTCAAATTGCTCCTCCAGCTGTTTATTAGTACCACTTACTTTTTCAACCTTTTGTTGCCCTGTCCCAACTTTTTTGAGATGCGTTGCTGCCATCAAGTTCTAAATGATAAATATGGGTCTATGAGATTTGCAAATCATTGTATTCTGTTTTAATTTACATTTTACACAGTGTTCCAACTTTTTTGGAACTGAGGTTGTATAATATTGTGCAGCACAGTTATAGCACCATTAGTTTGCAACAAGCCAGACAAGCAGTGTTTGTTAAACGGCTAACTATGGTAGTGCAATATGCCAAAAACAAGTGGCAACAAAAAACTGTGCCAGTGACTGAGTTAAATTAAAGATCGTATGAAACCTCTCTGATTAAATATTCCAGTCGCTGGGTGAATAATATTAAATCTGCCAGCAGTAAAGTGAAATAGGTAAGTTAATGACCTAGTGGCTCCACTTTGAACTCCTCCTGGACGACTGAGCTCCTCACCCTGTAAAGGTATGGCCATGGACTCATGACCATAGGTGAGTGTGGAAATGGAGACTGCCTTGTACACAGAGAGCCTTGCCTTATGCATAACAACTGTTTCACATGCAGTTTTACTCTCCAGGGATGGAGACAAAAGACATTATCTGCAAAAAAAGCAGAGGAGCCACCTTCCAGCCTCCACAACATTGCATTGGTCCCCTCATGCTGAACCTTGCAGATGGTGGGCACACATGGTCCCTCCACATTGCCTTTTCAAGCCATCAGGAACACTGCTCCCAGGCCTAGCTCCAGGGGTAGGTCCCAGGAAACCTCTACCGGGCAGGGTACACAATATATTGTGTCTGTTGTTCATATGCGATTTGGGATTGTGATTGTGTTCTGGGACTTCACTCCAGGCCTGTTTGACCTGGAAGACCCTACGAGAAGCATACTGCTCCAGACAACTTGGCTCTGAAAATCCCGACCACACAAGCACTTCCGAAATGACAAGGCCTGATTTGAGTGACTGTGTGAAAATTCTAAATTACTCAGAAGGATAGGCACTTAAGTCACACACCAGCTGAAAAAAAAATCTGTGAATTAAATGGGAGGTAACACTGGCATTTGCAGATCATTTACTCCACTGATTGTTTGCAAGTTTGTGTGGATCAATAAGGCTAATTTTATCATTCTATGGTTGCTTTGTATTCCTCTTTCAAGCATTTTCTTTATCCACTACAAAGACCCAGCAATCACTTTAGAAAGAGAGGTTGACGTCCATCTGCCAACAACCAACAGCCCACTATTGCATTTTTAAGGATAAACAATGTTATTACTGTGAATGGATATATAAGTAAGACAACTGCAAAAAAATGGAAATTATAAGCCTTCTCACCATGGCTTTGAGTTGCTCTGGCTTCAGGGTAGGTAACTGCTGCTGTAGAAGACAAGCACTCTTGAAACGCTCTAGGAAAGCACTAAGCACTTCTTCAGGCTCATTGACTGGAACCATCCAGAACCAATCTACAACAAAAAAAATTACTGCCATACGGATATTATAAATAAAAGGCTGTAAGAACTTAGCTTATGTAAAGCTCTAATTACCAGGGCATGGGAAATCTGGCCACGAACAGAATTGTTCATGTTGGGTTTGAAGTTGCCTTGTCAACTCCAAAATCCGTTCTTCATCTTTAAAAGTAAAAAATATGCAAGGGCAGGATTAGCAAGCTTGCTAGCTTATCCCATCCCAAGCTTAACTACAAACATGTTTTTAATTCTAACTCACATTTTTGGAAATCCAGGGTTGCCTGAATAGATGCACAAAGGAATGCCTGACAACTGGAACACTTCAGAATGTCATTGTCTACATTTATCCAGCCATACTGAGCACATTTTAATGGTGAGAGAACAGAGGGCTTTCCAGACCACTTCAAACAGTTTGAAAATTAAGAAAGATTTCACAAAGTTCAAACAAATAAAAGGTTACTCAAACTTCTTCTCATTTCCCATTTTGTCATTTGAATTTAAGTGAAAACAAAAGGTCTTGCTTACAAATCATCACCAAACTTTTCTACATATTTTAATGAACATTCAAAGAAAGTTATGAAAAGCATAAAAAGGATATAGAGTATGTTTCCACTCTGTCAAAAAAAGCAGCTCTGTTTGTAGCTTCAGATGGCGCATCACTCACAAAACCAGAAGCCAGGGAGCTTGAAATCAGAGCTGACCTGAAATAAAGAAGACAAAGAGTTGATATTACCTAGGTCAGGGATCAGTAACATATGGCTTTTTACTGCCCTGTTGCGGCTCCATAGCAGAATTAGATTTTTAAGTAAAAATAAAATAATCCTCCTTTGCAGTAAAATAATCATTTTCTGATCATTCTAACGGTTTTAACAATAAATGATCTTAAACGTTACTTAAAAATGTTAATGTGTATCTGCTAATTCACCAACCTTTTACCCTGAAGGTTGGCACGCAGACTGCTAGTCACATAGCAATGCAGATAACAATCTCACCTAGCTAGTAGCTAACAAAAAGGTAAAGGAAAGATCTAAGACGAACATGGATAATTTGGAGACGAATGGTTTAATTTTTGTTGAAAGGACAAACTGGCTCTTCTTAACATTTGGGTTGCCGACCCCTGGCCTATACTAACACACTAGCACATACTGAGAGACATTTAGAGCCGAGAAGATAAAATGGACATAAAATATTGTGGCGCCCAAGGTGGTTTAATTTTTGCTAATGACTGAGGAACAAAGACTGAAAATTTTAAAAGTTTAGTGAGCAGGCACACACAGATTACAACAGCATTACTTTCTACTGATCTGGTCTTGAAATGTTTTGAAAAGGTTATTTAATGATTATAGAAATGTTTCAAATTAACATGTAAACATTTATGGAGGATAACTACTTTTATCACGGTTACTTGTGTAGTACAGTGTAGCACCATGTAGCACCGACAACTCAATTAATCATTTCAACAAAACACCCATGATTAAAATAAGTTATAAATTTTGTGAAGGGTAGTTCCAATACAATACACTACATTAATTTTTCATTTTCATCTCCCAAAGAACATCCTTGTTATCTTATCTTACTTACTTACTTGCCAGTTAACAGCACCAGTGACAGTTTCAGCACAGCTGAATCTGCCCATCTACCTTGGTGTTTAATAAAGAGCACTTCTCACAGTGGAATCACGGCCTTTCCTGTTTTTTTAACTCTATGCTGACGCTACACTAGGATCAGGGGTGGTATAACAGCCCCCCACTGCCCCTGGCGAAAGACTGTGACAATGAGAATGGTGCTGTGATGCTCCAAGTGAAAGACAGCCTGGCAAGGCTTGACGGCGAGGCTGGCATTAGAAGGTTTGAGGCCAGATTATACACGGCAAGGAATGAGGGTGGGGACAGTAACAGGGAGGACTGCGAAGGTGGGACCGTCGAAGTCTTCACAGCGTGAGAGCGCCATTGCAAGCAGCAGAGCGGTTCGTGGCTGTGTCAGGTGCACAATGGACGGCAGACAGCTCACTGCGCTTGCCATCATCCCCACTGTGACCAGGCGTGCTTGCCTGTCACATAACATCTGGAAGGCAAACATCGTCCAGCTCAAGTCAGCCGCCAGTGGTGGAGGAGGGCCCCTAGCATGAACAAGTGACACTCATGCCAGCATTGATGGCGTGCTGGGCAACGGAGAGAGCAATTGTGGATGCCGTCAAACCCAGCTGCACAGGACTTGACGTGACGTGGAAATCTTTTAGCTATTGTGGGTTAAATCGGTAGATTTTTGTGTTAGTTTAGAAGGAAGCTTCCTAGTCAGCCCAGTCAGCTCTGCTAGCACTTAAGCTAACACTAGTTAACTTCACTCATCACAATTAGCCTAGCTAGAGAAACAACTGCACTACCTCAGGCGCTTCTTTGACCATTCGTTCATGACTATACATTCTTGATAATGTGCACTTGGCAACAAGCTAGCACTAAGGCTTTAATGCGCCGTAGCAGGACAGTGACAAAAGTTTACATGAAGTTGGGCAGTGTACTGTCTCTTGTAGCAGCACTTCAATTAGTATGTAGGTAACTTTTGTTTCTCTCGATGCTTAAGCACATCTGCAGCATTTTCCTAAAGATATCTGAATGAGGCAGTTAGCCTGGGTTGCCATATTGCCAGACCCTACAGCAGCAAACTTATCTGCAAGTAAACCCTTTTATGCTGGTCTCCTGCTACATAAAATTCTACAGTTTGACTTTAGACTGATTTAATGCTAATGTGCTCTAACATTAACTAGTAACTCTGAAACACGAAACGAAAGCAAAGCATTCACAAAATACAATCTAATATTTCTGTGGTCAAATAACATTTTTTATTGATTAATAAGTGGTACTAACTACACATCCTCTACAGAAAACTCACTTCTGCATATTTTTATGCAAAATTACAATTTGTTTGCTGAGTTTAACATATTGGGAGGAATAAAACAAAATATTTTAACAAACGTATGACATTTTATATTTTATGTACATTATTATGATAATTTTGTTAATGTTAAAACCGTGTGTGTTAAATTCAATCTGCAAAAAAACCCCAACATATTTATGTTTGTTTCACATGGATCAGGCATGTCAAACTGTAAACGTTCCAGGCTAAAGTGCTGCAGAGATCAGTGTTTACCCTTATCTACCGCACTGAATTTAGTTCATGAAGGCCTTGTTAAATAGCTGATGAGCTGAATCAGGTGTGTTTAATGAGGCAGCTTGCTGAAGTACTCAGTGCTTTGGCCTACAAGGACTAAAGATTGAAATATGTGATGGAAATGATGTGTTAACTTCACTTGGAAAATCAACAAAATATGGAATTTGACCGGGGATGTTCAAACTTTTGCATACGACTGTTCATTGCAATCGACGATCATTGTCCAAGCAGAACATACCAATATAAAGTGTATAAAGTCAGTAGAGGCCTTTTAGCAGACAGAACACAAATATGGCCAGTCACAGTTTTACAATGACCTCTATTTATAATTAATGTTGATAAGGGGTCTCAACAGAAGATGTCTATTAAATAGGTCTTTTGACTTTGGAATGGTAAGTAACAGATCTTTAAAAAAAATTATGCAAAATCCCAGGAGAGCAGCATAGTTTTTGCATGACTTGTATTTGCATAGTTGTTGAAGTCAATGAACTACATCATTCTAGAAAAGTTACTTGTTTTCCTGTACTTCATTTTCAGAGCTTTTAGTCTCAGTGTTTCTCATATTTTTTTCATCTTCCTGTTACAAATCCCTCACACTCTCCTGGGGAGCTATGCCTTAATTTCCTAACCTGTCACAAAGTTTACTACATAGGTATATGTCTAAAGTCATATAATTTGTTGAACAAATTCCAAGTTTATACACTATATGGACAAAAGTATTGGGACACCTACACGTTACACCTACAGGAGCTTCCATTCTAAATTCATAAGCATTAATATGGAGTTGGTCCCGTCTTTGCAGCTATAACAGCTTCCAGTTTTCTGGGAAGCTTTCCACAAGATTTTGGAGTGTGTCTGTAGGAATTTTTGCCCATTCATCCAGAAGACCATTTGTGAGGTCAGAGACTGATGTTAGACGAGAGGGCCTGGCTCACAATCTCCATTCTAGTTCATCCCAAAGGTGTCTGATGGAGTTGAGGTCAGGCTCTGTTCAGGCCAGCCAAGTTCTTCTACACCAAACTCACCCAACCATGACTTTCTGGACCTTGCTTTGTGCACTGGGGCACAGCCATGCTGGAATAGGAAAGGGCTTTCCCTAAACTGTTCCCACAAAGTTGGAAGCATAAAATTGTCCAAAATGCTATGGTATGCTGAAGCATGAAGATTACCCTTAACTGCATCCAAGGGGCCTAGGCCAACCCCTGGAAAACACAGCCCCATAGCATTATCCCTCCTCCACCAAACTTCACAAATGGCACAACGCAGTCAAGCAGGTAAGGTTCTCCTGGCATTTGCCAAACCCAGACTCGTCCTTTAGACTGCTACATACAGAACCGCGATTTGTCACTCCACAGAATACATTTCCGCTGAGTCCAGTTGCAGCATGCTTTACACTACCCCCCCACACAAACACACCCACGCTTCGCATTGTGCATTTTGTTCTTAGCTTTGTGTGTAGCTGCACAGCCATGGAAACCCATTTTATGAAGCTTCTAACATGCAGTTCTTTTGCTAAGGTTGCTTCCAGAAACAATTTGGAACTCTTTAGTGAGTGATTCTACAGTGGATAGGCACTGTGCACCTCAGCAGTCGGCAGCCCCCATTTTGTGAGTTTTAGCTAAAGACAGAGACTCTGTGAAATTTGTGATCAGGTAGCTTCAGCTTCAGAATCTGGCTGCAAGAAGCAGAGCCTATTACATAGACTACAGCTGTGGTTCTTATTCCTGTATTCCTGGTCCTGGAGTACCACTGCCCTGCATGCTGTAGTGTTTTTCTTTTGTTCTGCACTAAACAGCCAAGTCACTTCTGGAACGATCTTGTTAACTGGTGTATTAGCTGCATTAAGGTATACAGACTAGTAATGATTTATTTTTGATAGACTGAAAAATCCATCACTGTTTTAGTAGCTAAACCAGTTCAACAAACAAACCTGTTCTAAGTACTATTTATACATTAAAAACACATTGAGGGAACTGGGACTGCAAATTAGCTTAAGCTAGATGGCCTATACAAATTAAATATGTTGCATTTTATGTAACAATGGTTATCTGTATTATCCCTGTCAAATAAACAAATAAAACAAAAAAACTCTGAAAATTTATAGTTTTATTTATAAGTATAAATATTCAAATACATTTAAAACGTTAAACTGTTAGAAACCTCACAATATGTAATTTCTGAAGGAGATCAATAGCGTCCCTTAATAACGGAAAAACGGATAAGAATAAAAAATATATTCTCTGGACTCTGGATCCTCCTTTGTCTACTCTGATCATTTTGCGCATTTCGATCAGGCAAAACCGAAAAGATAAAATAATTCGTAGTGAATGCCAAATATGAAAACAACCTTACTGCTGTGTCCCAAATCTAAATCTAGACCAAAATATCAGCATGAAAGTATATACAGACTTTCTGCATTCCACACCTCTTTAACGACAACTTCCAAATCTAGCCAGCTAGGTTAGCGTTACTATTAAAAAAAACGCCAGCTAGTGAACACGAACCAACAACAACTTGGCATCGTGCGAGAACATAAAAGCCGTCTCAAAAGAGCAAGTCATGCACAGATAACAGACTGTCTAGGTATCAGGAATGTGACTTGCGTTGGCCAGCATGCATAACTGCAATTACTGTAGCTAGTAGCTAAAAGCTGAGAGGCTAACGTTACTGCTTTTCGCTATTTGTATTTGTACATACCGATTTAAGACATTGTCCTCTGAAGCAAAACCCTCCCGGAGAAGTTGTCGAATTTTTAAGGGAGATACTACATGTAATTTTTCTGATTTATCACGGTGTTCCAGACGACATTCACTATTCCCTGACGTTGCCATGTTTTGTCAAAAGCCGCAACAGTCTGCCTCCACTTTTTCGTATTTTAGAGTAATGCGTGTGTTGTGGAAGTGGTCACACTTCTTCTGTGGGTTATGGCGGGTCGTAAACTAGATCCGCATACCGCCACCTATCGTACTTGCCGTAGTTGTCACGCTAATTAGTATGATAGTATGTGGTCTTGGACGCAGGACATGAGTAGAATTCAGACAATTAAATCGGTAAATTAATTAGATAGACCTGATTCTTGTTTTAATAGCAGCCGTCAATGGTTAAAAACACTACGTTTAAAAAAAGCACAGAGAAATCAGCCAGGATATTGTCAACTACATATCTTGAGAAATCTTGCCAGACGTTAAAAACTCTCCTACTTATATTACTTACTGGGCCATTCCAGCAACAGACAGAAGCAGACGAGACAGTGACCTTTATTCATCAAAGTTAAAAAAGAGTAAAATTTAAAAGGCACCTGACCAGCTAGTCTATAATAGTCTCTGAATAGACTACCAAGTCCTTCACTGGAATTGCGCAGTTGGCAATCGTGATTCTTTTATAGCCAGAATGTCATGTTTATTTATGTTCAGGTGGAGACTAGAGGCTAAAGAAAATGCATATTGTCAAGAGCCCTGGACATCTGAGCTGAATCTGTTAACACATCTGTATTATCAGCTAATTGGCTAATGATTATTTATTTGCCAGTGACAGAAATACCATTTAGATTACTATTTTTGATATGTATCAATCAAAAAATAGGTAGGATTAAATAGGACAGGTGCCAGATTTCAATCTAGTTGAATAATTATCATTTTGTAAAGTGTTTCAATACTTCTAAAGAAAAAATCCCCAAAACAAATGTGTTAGGAAATAGGAAATTCCTGAATCCAGTTGATGAATTGAGTTATTTTTGTAGTGAATTTTCTATAAACCTAAGAAAGTATGCAGAGTTTTGTTCACCCTCCTCTATCCAGCTTTTCTTAGATCTAATAAAAGCACCCTTAGACTGATATTCACAAAGAATCGTGTGATGATGTTCACAAAATATCACAGCAATTTACAAAGAAATTCTTTCTTTTTATCTGAGAGGCTATCGGAAGGCCTATTCGACAGGGAGGTAATTTGAGATGTTATATTTAATTCTTCTATCCGCTTCATCTTTTTTTATTATCACTGCTAAATTTTCTTGAGTATTTCCGTATTTCAAAATGTAAAAGCTCAAAGTTAACCCAGATGTTTTTAAACTTGAACAGCCTCATTATTCAGAAGAGACCTATTAAGCTTTCAGTATAAGGAGTGGGAATAATTGGACAGATTATAAATAAAGAGAACTGCTTTGCTGATACCTTTATAGTCTGTTAGAAGAGTGTCAAGAACATTAACAGATATGTCCTTGGAGACTATTTAAGACAACAAATAGTCAATTCTGGATTGTCTTGATGTACTCTTGTTACACTATCACTCTCTAAGTGATAATTTCCAAATATGCACCTAATCATATCTTTTCATGAACTTTTTCTAGCTGATACAAGACCTGGTATCATCTTTAAAAGGCCTTCTATTAATTGAATTTAAGCTAAGGCAGCATTAAAACCAAAAAGTTGAGGGAAAATTGGCCACCCAGTAAACTACTTGGTGTTTTAAAGCAAATTATTTTCCTGTTAGATGTTATATCAGAGAAATAACAATGACAAAGATATAGTTGTACACATTACCAAATTTTTAGCTACTAGTTAATTTAATGTCTTTTTTCAAAATTAAAGTGAGTTGCAATTCTCACCATAGATCAAAGTAAACAACACAATTAATCAGATGTGTATAGACACAGTGGTTATGGAGCTATTGGCTTTTTTTTTTAATCTGACAAAATCTCTTGTTAAAGGGAACAATAAAATGTTTTTAAAAGCACTGAAATGATTTGGAGGACCACAAATGCGTGTGCACAGATGTAGGCATGGTCTAGAAACGTATACAATTTATTCGGATTGGAAATCTTGTCTCAGTTTTTTTATATTAACACAAAAAGAGAAGTACGTTAAATGTCACCCAAACCGCAAAAGAAAAGGTGTGGAACACTTTCTGTGGTCGTGCTGTGATCAATATGTAAGTCTTTACTAGCTTCCGTAGTCCATTCAAATGTTATTGGCAGCAAAAGCACAAATATTGAAAATAAAACTAACTACAGCTGAGAACGATAACTGGCCATGCAGAATTACACCAAGACCTCTTGCCTCTACAGACGGAACAATCAGTGAGTTCTCAAATGAGATGGCAAGATCATGATGAGGAGCTGTAGTTGCAGGGATGAATAGCAGCTCAGTCTTCCTAGGATTGAGCTTCAGTTGGTGAGCTGCCATCCATGAAGAGATGTCAGTCAGACATGCCGAGATGCGACTGGAAACCTGTGTGTCAGAAGGTGAGAAAGAAAGCATTAGTTGAGTGTCATCAGCATAGCAGTGATAAGAGAAGCCATGAGAGGATAATACATCACCAAGAGAGCTAGTGTAAAGAGTACACTACAATGCATCAGTTCTACATATCAAAAAACAGCACCCCAGCATGTCTATTCTACAAGTCTATTTTCGTAATCAAGAAAATTTAATTCATACAAACATACAGTACTTAAAGCAGATGAAGTAGATGATTCACAATCTCAGAATTTTACAAATTTTAGATTTCGTAAAAAAACCTTTATATAAAGAGTTTTAAGCACTCACCCAAATCAATCAGCTAGGAGATAAGTCATGACATTACAAAAGTTAAATCGGAGCGAAAAAAGATTTTGAAAAACAGACAAAAAGGCACAAGACTGGGCACTTAATGTTTTTAAACTACATATCCCACAAAGCACTGCGAATGATGTTACCCATTCACTTTCCCAAACATTTTTAGACAACTTTTTTATTAGCATATTTCTCTCTAGTGTTTTGGGGATTATAGGTGTTTTTGTAGTTTTTGTGTATATAAAGCATTTCTGTTTCATTGTTCTTGATTCTAGCTTTGTAGTTTATTTATTTTACCTTGCAAGCAAGCAGAGGCGAAGAACAAGTAAGTCTCAAGTCATGACACTCAAGTCCCGAGTCAAGACATTTAAGTCTCGATTCAAGTCCTGAGGCACTACAGGCAAGTCCCAAGTCCTAATCTTTGAATCCTAAACCATTCACTATACATTCTTCAGCTAATTTAAGGCCATTTTAACACTGAAAACCAAAAAATGATGGTAACTGTAATATAACCTTTTAATAGACCGTGCGTCATTCTGTAGTCCTCGTTATGCCCATATTAGGAACTCCGGGTCTAGGCTCCATTTCTCTACGGCCAGAATGAATAGGGTTTTCAAAAAGTCGCCTCTATCGCCCCGTGTTAAATAAAAATGTTCAGAACCCGATACGTTTTGTCCTGTGTACATTTTTCTCCCGAATACCACTGGATCCTCCGAATTACGAGGTTGTAAAGAGCTATAATACTAATATTGCTACATGAGAGCTAAAGCTACTGCGCATCAATTTGATGTCACTAAGCTACACGAAACTAAGGTGGGCTGTGCCGGTGTTACGGTAAATTCAGTTCCCCATGTTCCCCCCTCCTTGCGCATGTGGAAATCATGACGTCTTCAGTCGCCGCTCCTCTGCGGGGCTTAGATATGCTTAATTCGTTTGTTTTTGTACCGTAATTTCGTCCTATTCCTCGCGGTAAGCGAATTATCACGTTGTTTGTAAAATGACTTGTAGTTAAACACGTTTTAAAGTGTAAAATGTGTTGTTAGCAGATGTTTTAATGCTCAAACACTACGTGGGCTATCTTGCTAATGCTAGCTTTGGCTCCGTTTTCAACTACTCTGAGTAACAGAAGTTAGGTTCATTGCGCCATTTCTGATTTAATTACCGTACATGCAGACACATTTTGTTGTTCAGACTTAAGTGATTTTAAGGTGTATTTATGTCCCATATCCTCGTCAGTCTCGCTAAGTTCTGTAAATAGATTTGATACATTTGTTGCTGAAATAAATAAACTGCGTTAAGTTACACAGCACAGTAATTAGTCTGTGTTATTATTGTTAGACTACGTATCTCAGTGCACCTAGGAAGTTGGTTTCCCTGTAGGTTTTGAGGCTGAAGTCTTACTGTTATGGTACTAATGTGACTTGTCTTTACAGTAACTTTTATTCATATTTTATAATCTTTAGAATTGAGAATACAGGGGGAACATCTTTAACCAGAGCCTGAGAAAAGTGGTTTCCCCTTGTATATTACAGCTGGAGTGGATTTAAAGCACAGCAGTGATGCTGATAATCTATATTTGTGCAAGATCATTTCAGTCAGTAGCTTTTATTCATATTATACAAACTTTACACAACACAATCATTGTAGTACTTTTATAACCTGTTGTAATATAAGGAAATGATAGGATTATCATAGTACCTTTATGCCCCGTTGTAGTGTAGGGAAAGGAATCCATTTACCAGGAACACTGATCAAATCCCAGTTGTTTACTTCCATTAAACATGGTAACATAGTAACAGATAACATAGCTGTATCAAGAAACATTACAGTGTAGTACACCTGCATGTAGTAATCGTTCAATTTGAAAAAAATGGTAAAACATATAATGCATCTTTTTTTTCATTTAATTAACTACAGTTTAAAATTTTTGACCCATTGTAGTTACTGGGAGGACAGAAAAAGCAAAGAAAGCATTATAGTATATTAAACTGATCCTAATTGCCAGTTTTTACTGGAACTTACTTTTTTTAGGGTCACTGGGTAAATCTGTTCTACCGTTTAGTCTCTGTATAAAACAATGTGAAGAAGCAGTTGGAATAAAATGAAAATATAAACAAATTAATATAATAGTGCATTAAATCTTTAATAGCTGTAATCGACTAGTACACTGAGAATGCTGTTCCATCTGTATTCTCAGTGTAAAGGGGGTATAATGTGAATAAGAGTTACTGGGTGAAATGATCATGCACAGAAATAGATTATCAGCAGCATTGTTGTACATTAAATCCACTCCAGCTGTAATATACAAGGGGAAACCACTTTTCTCAGGCTCTGGTTAAAGATGTTCCCCCTGTATTCTCAGTTCTAAAGATTATAAAATATGAAT